TTTTTTTTTTTTTGTAGTAGGGATTTTCCAAAATTCCTTATCTGAAAAAATATAATTTAATCAACCAAGATAAATTTGGATTCTTTCCAAATTGTACGAATGTGTTGTAGTTCGATAAATATGAATACTCAGTTGACGATGTGATCTTTTGGAAATCTTGAAAAATTTTATCGATTCTTTAGAAAAATGTTGTAGTTTGATAAATTTCGACAACCAATTACCGTGTGATTTTTCGGCGATGGTGATAGTATCGATTTTAAAAAATAATATGTATATGATAGTGTAGTATGGATTTTCCCAAAACAATGTGTCTTAAGTTTTAAAAAAAATGAGTTATTAAATATTATCGGTGAATTTCATCCTATAATGTTTCTAATTAGAGTATTGAAATCTATGATGTGCGATGTCCGGTGGGCCAGGAGCTTGTCCTGTGTCAGACCCTTCAACTAGGTCACTTCCCGCTTGACGACTTCGTGGAGACGAAGGGTCTGCTGCTTCTTCTTCATCTTGGTAGCAGTGCTGCGGTGCTGAGCGACATGAAATCTGACTGGAATAATGTTTAGTTACAATGAAAAGATTATATGGAAGTTAAGATATAGATGAAATATACCCAAAAAGATTTGCAGTCAATCATTTTCTTAAATGTTTGAATTTAAATTTTTGACCGAATATTTCAAATCATGTTTGGGCAGGATTTATAAAAAATTTTCAAAAAAAGTTACTATGTTTAGTAAATTTTTAAGCGGGAATCCTAATTATTTTATAGTTACTATTTTAGAATTTTTTGTTATCTCTTCATATAATAATAAATTTAAAACGACGGTTTAGGATTAACATTACTCTCTTGCTACCTCTATTATATCATTTTTAGTCAGAATAAAAAATATTTAATTATAACCTCTAACATTTTTAACTAGGATTTTTTTTTTTTTTTTTTTTTTTTTGGGCCAAAGCCTAACATACACCAAGCGGTATACGATGGGGGTAAGCCACGCCTAAGATATCATGCTCCGGATAATGTCCTAGCTCCCGCGACGGGTTCAAATGACGATGATAACCAACAGAGACACCAACAACTAGCGAAGCTAAAGTATCGACCGAGAAACTTCTTCCTAATAATCATGGGACAAATGAACACTCACAGATGGCCCGGATCATGCTATCATGGAGACCTAAGCTATCATCAATCCTCGTCACCATAGCTACAACACTTCTATTATCCACTTCCGCTAACACCTGTCGTGCTTCCAAATCCCAAGCCAACCGGCCATGGAATAGGCCCCAAAGTTCCGCACCAGTTATTGTTGTACAATAACCCACATTCAACATAAATCCTCCAAGTCAACGACCAATCAAATCTACCCTCCTGCCGGAAGAAGTACAAAGAGCGCCATTCGTATTAATTTTAACCCGATTTTCTTTATGACATCTTCTACCACATTGTAACAGTCGCCGTGGCTTCTCCTCATCTTGATGAATGCAAGTTTCTATGCTTTTTTATCCTGTCACATTTCATGTTTTCGTTCATGGTATCAGAGCATATTTAACACACTGTCTTTGTCCCCTTTCTCTTCTTTAAAAATAAAAGCCTCCACCATGAGCACATGTAACTCGAGCTCACTGCATCTCATATCTCCAACCAATCAGCATTGACAGAAAAAGCTTGATGACAACAACTTTCTTGTTTGGAAGCAGCAAGTCACATGACCATACGAGGATATGGGCTCGATGGCTACATTGATGGAACCAACAAAGCCCCTGAGCAGTTTCTACCTTCATATCTAATGACTCCAAATTCAAACTTACCGAGCTTTATTAAATGATAAACTAACTAACCATTTATCGAGCTTCCATGTAAATTTGTAGATTATAAATAATAAAAATATTTAAATATACATTTTTATAATCATGATAAACAGTCGAGTGACCTCGAACTGTCATATAAATTATAATAATCTTAGAAAGAATAATTAAAATATTTATAATATATATTACTATAAATTGTGATGACATATGAGTAGTGGGAGATAGAGAAAAATTTGTGTGAGTATTATTCATTGACAATGTTTGAATATGTTAAAATTTTATATTCTTTAATTCTAAACATGAACTATAAAATGACAGCTATTTAATAATGAGTAAATACACATATAACGCTTACATATCATCAAAATAAATAAACGAAACGATAAAACTTATATTAATATTCAAAATATTTTTATATATACTAATCAATAATCCTTCTCTGCTTTAGTTTATAATTTATGGTTATTGTCCTGTGCATGAGATGGATAACATATTACTTGACGAAAATTTAAAATTTATTTATGGATGTAGATACAGTTTTTTTTTTTATATATATATATTTTATATATGATATAAAATCAAATGTCGTGTAAAGATTATTAATTTTTAATATTCAAAACATTTTATATATACTAATCAATAATCATTCTCTGCTTTAGTTTATAATTTATGGTTATTTTCCTGTGCATGAGACGGATAACATATTACTTGACGAAAATTTAAAATTTATTTATGGATGTAGATACAGTTTTTTTTTTTATATTTTATATATGATATAAATCAAATGTCGTGTAAAGATTATTAATTTTATACATCCTACATAAATAATATATACAAACAAAAAAAAGCTTTAAATAATATTTATAATATAAATTAGTCAAACGTTCTATTAATAATTTAAAAGTCTAATAGACATATACAAAAATTTAAACTGAGATAAACTCTAGTGACTAGTCCATAAATTACTACGCTTCAAACACCATAAATTAACAAATAAAATCAAAAAGTACCATAAGTTACAACATATTTTCACACGATACCAACACTTTTGAGTTCGACAAATTGTGCAAGAAAGAATCTGACGATACCGACACATTTGAGTCCGGGACTCGAATGATACCGTAGCGGGACCATAGCATTTCCTTATATTATATTTGTACCTAACTACGTACGAGTTTATAAAAATTACTTGTTGATAGAAAATCCAAATCCGGCTGACTAATCTACCTGGATTTTCATGATATCCGTAAGGCCACACTATTGACTATTATTATTACATGCAATGCACCCATTCCTTGTCCTCTCTGTCTCTGTCCCCTCTTCTTCACTTGAGTACTTACAAATTTTACACACATATATATGTATGTATGCCACACAATTACAAAAGTTTTTCTGTCCCTACATGAATGCAAGTTGCTGTAAGAACAGGTTGACTCTTGGGGGAAGAGCAAAGCAAAGCAAAGAGGAAAAAGTCAAACCCGCGAAAGTCTTGAACAAAATAGTAATAATATAATAATTACCTGTTGTGGCCAGCTTCTCGTGAAGCCAGCTCCAAAGACAACAACATTCACATTTATTGATTTTGGGCATAAAGGGTCATCAATAGGCATATTTTTTTTTTTTTTTTGGTAAAAGGACCTTCCGGTTTCCAGAGCAAAGGGGAACCGACTAATTCGAAATCGAGCCGGGTAGGACCACAAGAGCGGCAAAGCTCTCCCTCATGAGTTTTAACACTGTTACATTTTCAAGGCTCGAACACGAGATTACTGATTAAGCTTGAAGAGACCCAAGTCATCTTATCCGAGCGCTCTTGGATCATCAACAGGCATATCTGTCTCGAGCTTACTATTATTATTTTTATTTATTTTTATTTTCTTCTGCTCTTTCACACGGGGCGCCTTGAATTTGGGTTCAACTACCTTGACCAGTATCAAGATTCCTTTTTTATTCCCCCCCCTTTGGTTAAATTTCATTGATTTTGTGAAGAGAAAGTGGGGATTTTTATCTTTGATGGGTTCTTGCTGCAGTGTACGGATAAGGGCTGATCATAGTCCTCCTCGTCGAGATGGTTAGTGACCTCTGTTTTGCTGTCTAAATTCTTTGTTTTTTTGCTTTTGTTTTTGTTTTTTCTTGGAGCTTTATAAAGGGTTTACTTTAGTTTGATTGAAAGAGATACCATTGAATCCAAGAACACCCCAACAAAGAATTTAAGAAATTTTGTCGAGTGTTCGTAAAATTCGAGCCTAAATTCCACCCCTATTGCTTGGAATATGTAATTAGGTCCGAGCCCGAGGCATGTGAGCTTTGATGGACGAGAGACGAGCAGCCGGCGCTCGTCGTCTTCCTTATCAGCTCCTTTGACCCCACGCAAAGAGGGCGAAATCTTTGAGTCCACAAACTTGAAGAGCTTCGGGTTTAATGATCTCCGGATAGCCACCCGAAACTTCCGCCCGGACAGTGTTCTGGGAGAGGGCGGCTTCGGGTGCGTTTTCAAAGGATGGATAGACGAGCACACGTTCAAAGCTGCTAAACCGGGCACTGGAATGGTTATTGCCGTCAAGAGACTCAACCAAGAAGGCTTTCAAGGTCACAAGGAGTGGCTCGTAAGTAATGCTTTTTAGATATTGAAATGATGAAACTCTTTGGCTGATAATACAGATTGGGGGACTTGGAGGGAGTGACTGTTTGAAGTTTGAACTATTGTTTTCTTCGTTTTTGTTAAGCTCGTGGTGGAGATTATGACGATTATACTGTTTATTGCTTGATTCGATTATATTGTTTGCAGACTGAAGTCACTTATCTAGGACAGCTATATCATCCCAATCTAGTGAAACTGATCGGTTATTGCTTAGAGGACGAACAAAGGCTTCTGGTTTACGAGTTCATGCCACGCGGAAGCTTGGAGAATCATCTATTTAGGAGTAATTACTAATTACCTTATGTATCTCAAAATATACTTTAATACATAAGTACAACCGAGACGTTTAGCTTTTAGCTTCTTAACATGTTTGTTCCTTCCTTAACCAGGGACTTCTTACTTCCAACCACTGTCTTGGACAGTTCGTATGAAGGTTGCTCTTGGTGCAGCAAGAGGACTCGCATACCTCCATAGCCCTGCTGCTAAAGTTATATACCGTGATTTCAAATCCTCCAATATTTTGCTTGATTCGGTACGCTTTCAAAATTATTTTAAAATCCCACCATACGACTGGCAAATTCTTGTGCATTTTTTCGCTCACGTTACGTATTGTTGCTTGATGGGCTGGCTGGCTAATTACAGCATTATAATGCGAAGCTGTCTGATTTCGGGTTGGCCAAGGATGGGCCGATTGATGGTAAAAGCCACGTATCCACGAGAATTATGGGCACTTATGGCTATGCAGCTCCAGAGTATATGGCCACAGGTATAAAAATTCAAAATATCAAATTTTGTCAAGAAGCGATAACATGTTATACAAATCTTGAAACTGATTTCTTTGTGTGTGTGCAGGGCACTTAACTGCCAGAAGTGATGTGTACAGCTTTGGGGTTGTTCTCCTCGAGATTCTCACGGGGCGGCGAGTACTGGATAAAAACCGGCCACATGGAGAACAGAATCTCATCGAGTGGGCCCGGCCGTACTTAACCAGCAAACGCAAAGTGCTTCGGGTGATGGATGGGCGCATAGAAGGCCAGTATTCGCCGACTGCAGCACTAAAAGCTGCAATTCTCGCTGTGAAATGCCTGGCTTTGGAGCCCAAGTGCCGGCCCACGATGGTTGAGGTTGTTAAAGCATTGGAGCAGCTTCAGGACTCGGGGAGTCTGAAAGCAGCCCGCGAACGACTTGCGGAAGATTCCGGAAGGAAATCGGCTTCTTATCCGAGGCCTGCAGCATATATAGGTGGAAAGATTGGATAAATTTGTAGTGAAAAGTAAATGCTGTTTGTATTTTGGTTCAAGTCATGGCATGGCTGGCTTTTGAGGGGACTCTGCACAGTTTCAATGTATTCTTCAGTGACAAGCTTGTTAACTTTAATGTTGTATAAAACTATGTAATAAATTACTTCTGCAGAGTCTGAACTTGCACATGCCATGTAATTATGTAAACTACAGCGGCCGAGCCAGATAAATTTTGTGAGCCATGGCCAAAAAAATAGTTGAAGGAAATTTTCAACAATATTGTACAAATATATATATTAACAATTAAAAAAAAAATGAAAATTCCATTGCAGTTTTCGAATTTTTGGAAAATATTAACAATTTTTGGAAAATTCCTTTGAAATCTCCTCGAACGCTCGAATGTTTGACTAGCTCTGGGTTGGTCCGCTGGCTGCTCCGAGTATGAAAAATGGTCGATCAAACGACCATTTTTGTCGTAGGTCGATCTCCGACCAGACCCTCCAAGGGTCTGGAATCGATCTGCTCTCCATGTATCGAAATCCCTTTTAAGTTGTCTTCCAATCCAGAGGCTCTTGTTACTGTAATGGCCGACCACGACCACCCTACTCGGATTCTGTTCGACTAAGGTGGCTTGTTCGGTTTTTTCGACCAGCTTGTGGTATGCCATATCATAGATGTTATGAGAAAGAGTCTTCTAAAGGAAGATTTCAATTTGATTGACCCATGATTTTCAATATTTATCTCTTTTATAATTATTTAAAGAGATAATTAGAAGATATAATATTGAAAAAGAAGACTTTAATTTGATTGATCAATAAATTTCTAATATTTATCTCCTTAGTAATTAATACAAAAATTAATTATTTAGTTTATTCTCTAAGAGAATGATAATTGCCCTCCAAAATATACATGTGACATTTTTTAATTAAGCAACAATTCATATTAAAATAATAAATTAATTAACTATTTAATTGAGAAATCAAAATTTGATTAATTTCACAAATAAAATAAAGATTAATTAAACTAGCTTTGTCATAAAATTTAACTGTTGAGCTCAAATTTAACTGTCTGGACTAAGCGGAAGAACAATCTGGACTCGGCCAAACAAGATGGTATTAATGATTTGCAGTAGATAACTTGATTATCGTGTGGGCCGATTGTCGAGAAATTCCAAAACAGGATAAAATTCATTTTCAATCACTACATTGCTTTCTTTCTTTTTTTTTTTGTACTGAAGGGGAGGGGTGATTAGGAGATTACTCTACGAGGATAAGCTACCCAACCACATCATGCTCGAGCCATGGTTTTAAACCCGCCGGCGGGAACTCTAACCGTTGAAGCCGCCAGGGACCGAAGCTGCTAACGAGGCCAAGAAATCGGTCACGATTCTCGATAGACATGGTGAAGTTTCACCTCCCCGTTACGATTCATCAACTCCTTAATAGCCCTAACAAAACTACATGGCTTTCTTTTAGATATGATGTAATATTTTCATATAATGTTTTTATTAGATAAATCAATATATTTTTAAAAATTAATAATTTAATTATAATTTTATTTTAATTTTATTCATTGTAAATATTAATGCCCACTAAAGTAATCTTGACATTTATATATATTGTTAGTAAAAGAATAATCATGACGTTTATATATATTGTTAATAAGAATTCTATGACTTAGATTAGCCATTGAAAATCACTACAACTTTCTTTCTTGATATATTTGTAGAAAATAATTGATTAATCTTCTAACAAAATAATATTGACATGAACAATGTTGTATTTAATTGTATTTTTTAATAATAAATAAGAGTTAGATTTATGATGAACAAAAATAAATAAAATTATTATTTTGTCTATATAAAAAATATATTTAGATATTGAAATATTATTTATTAACATAAAACGGTTAGCAAGCTAATATATAGTTAAATATAAAGTTTAAAATAAAAAATAAAAAATTAAGAAATAAGCCCGCCGATTGCACGAGATACTCACTATTAAGAACCAAATCCCTCCACTAAATCCTTCAAATTCCCGCCATAACCCGCCGGAGAAATTAGGGCTCGAGTCCCAGCTGCCCCCGACCCAACTTTGCGTGAAAGAAAATGGCCGGCGGATCTGAGCCTCATGCCTCTGCATTTTCGGCAGCCGAGGTCCTTGTTCGTCGTCCTCATTTTTTTTTTTTTTTAATATATATTTTGTGATTGTCCTGATGCATCGATTTTGTTTTCTATATTTTTTTGAACCTGCAGTTGGAGTTTCTTGCGGAGGATGAGCTGATCGAGATTGTGCCGAATATGAGAATGGATCCGCTAAATTTCATCTCGGTATTATCTTATGTCCATCAATTCGTATCATTTCACTATCACTAGCGTGTTTTTTCTGTTATGTTTTCCAGTTCTACATCATGAATTGATTTTCTCTTTACAATTTCCCTTGTTTAACTTGCGAGATGGATAGGGTGATTTTGGCCCCTTTCGGCCGCAAATAGCAACTCAAGTGCCACTCTGGTTGGCCGTAGCCTTGAAGAAGAGAGGCAAGTGCACTATTCGAGCCCCGGAATGGATGTCTGTTGGTGAGTTGAGCACGTAAAACCAGTGCGCGCGTGTGTTTGTCTTTTTAATTTTTCGCATTTAGTTGATGCCATTATCTTCCAACAATATTTTGAGCTGATTGCCAAGATTCTAGAATTGTCATCCATACCTTTTGGCGGCAAGTGTGTTGATTCTTATCCTCAACGAGCTTGATTTATGGAATGCGTCCATTGCATATTTTTGAATCAATGTGTCCAAGTGCAGTGGCTAAAGATCAGTATTTGGAACCTCGTTATCCTCATATAAGACATGTGCATTTTGCTTGTTTTACATTTTTAAAATGGCCTTACCAATTGCCTACAACCCAGTGCATCCACAGGGATTCGAACCCCCAACCTTTGCCTATCAGCAAAGGCTCCAATACCACTATGCTGGGCGTTCGTGGTATAATAGTGAACATTAGGGAAACTTTAAGGTGCCAAGTTAGATCAGGATGACACAGAGGTAACTGAATCTCTGGTACGTGATTATCCCACAGGCCACAGACAGTGCCTGATGTACTCTACACCAAATAGACCTGGTTTTGCATCCGTTCTGTATGTAACTTGGCCTCTAACAAAATTGTAGAGGTGTTCCCGACATAGACACTTCGATGCCCAAGTGAAGATGGGATAAAAAGGAGAATACTGATACAACAGCATAAGTGGTAAAAGTGTGATTAGGGTTTACTTGATAGTAGAAGAACATATTTATATGCTCTTATTTACCTTTTCCTCACTAGACAGCTAGGCATTTGAATCGAGCTACAGGTCCTAAATTGACCTCAGCTAATCAAAAGCTTTCCTAGCTCAATCTACAAACCACTCAAGCTTTTCGGTTCATCGAGCTATTTAACAATGCCATATCAATACCTGTATAAGGAACAGACATAACAATTCATATGGTTATGTGAGTATTTGAGTTATGCAGCTCCGCAAAATAGATATGAATTTGGTGGCTATTTAATTATAATAACAGGTAATGGGAACGTGGAAAATGTGAGAATTCTTGTTTCCCATATTAGGATTTTGTGTTTTAAAAAGTAAAAGTAAGATGAAATCGAGAATGTAAGAAATGCACATACCATACATCCCTTGATATACATCTACACACGAGCTATCAGCTATGAGATTAATATGGAAGTCATCAGTTGCTTGCCTTCAACATCTTGGAACAGTATTATCTCATCTTGTCATCATTTCTTATCGTGTCAACATTGTATAAATCAAATGATTTTTTACTATACATATTATGCTGAGAGTAAAATGGTCTCCTTTCTTCAGAGCATCTTTTTCATGCCCTTCACAGATTTGCACGTACAATATTTTCAGTCTCTAATGCGATGTAAAAGTGCAGTAGAATGAAAATCATCCATAACCAAGTCCTATATCCACATTTCTTCTGACCCAAATATAGCGAATAGAGATGGATGCTTTAAATTTGAAAATACATATAAGATCATGTAAGTTAGTTTACACCAAATGTAAAACATATTCTTATCAGTTCGTGTTGGAAAATAGAAAAATACTTATTATACAAAACTTTTGCTATATTTTTTATGGTTTTCTTTGGCGACATGTGATATTTATTGTCTAAAAAACAGAACGTTCATCTTTTTTATTTTTTTATTTTTATTTTTTTTTTAAGTAGAGACTGTAGGTTGCCTTGTTTTGAAAATTTGGAAATTCTCGACATTTTTCTTCCTTGAGAACATCCGACCCCTTTAAAGGTGATTGACTATCTAATGGTGAAACAGCTTGTGAATTGTTATAAGACAAAGCTATCTTGTTTAGTTTCAAGTTCTCTAGCTATCTAATACAAACTCATGGGTGTAGATTTCTTATAATTGTGTGCTTTCTAATAGATAACTTAACACAAGTGCTGGAAGCAGAGCGTGATTCTGAGAAGTTTCAGGTCTTGCCATTTCATTATGTAGAAATATCAAGACTTCTTTTTGATCAGTAAGTGTTTTCATATTGTATAAATTTTTTCTTTATGCTTTGAAAGCAGTGTTGTAAATGTTTTTCTCTGATTTAGTGCTCGAGAAGACATTCCTGACATATACATGGTTAGTGTACGGATTCACATCCATAATTGTTTCTTTCCCTTTTGATGTTCTCTGGAAATTTGATTTCATTCTCCATGTAGGTAAGGTCGCTCATTGAAGACATCAAGGACGTAAGATTTCATAAAATTGGGACAGGCTTGGAGATTATCTCGAAGGAACGTACTTATGCACTGAGGGTATGGTTCACACTCGGTTCTAAATGTATACCTGCATATTTGTGTCTGGTCATGCAGATTAATTTCCTTTGTGAAGTGTGATTCATCAAGAAAATTTAGAAAGGAAAATCATGTTATTGTTTCAAGATTATGCTACTCTCGGTATCTGGAGGAAATGATTGCTATCCTTCCGAAATCAGCTAATTGTTTTAAATTAATTCTATTTGGTCTTGGAATTCTGTGTGGATTTATATTAGTCAAGAGATGTCATGTTATCTGATGTCTTACCTTAGGTGATAGCTTTTACCTTGATAATGAAAGTACTTTTAATGAAAAACATACTTCTGTAAAAAAATTTAGTATGACTTTCTCGAGATTGTTGTGGATTAGGACATCCACTTCAAGGAGGTTTTGAATGTTCTTATACCCTCTGTGTGTGTGTGTGTGCGTGTGCGTGTGCGTGTGACCATAATGGTTGAAATTTTGCAGCTTAAAAATTTATCCGCAATGGAAGCAAATATAGTGCGACCATTTATAACAAGAGCTCTTGAGACATTTTATAAGCTTAGTAGCTCTGAAATGATGCAAGAATCAGACCATGTGCCTAATAGACAGCCCCAAGCAATCAACCGTGGGCCAAGAGTAAGTTATCTTTTATTTTTCCCTTGCTTTATTTGGCCTTTGGTGACTCGAGAATCAGATTTGCTCATTTCTCCGTATGTTCCCCTTCCGAATGAAACCACCTTGAGGAATTATTTGAAATAACCATCTTTTTCCTTTCATATTCTTCGAAAACGGATGATGAGATATTTGCTGATACTCGTTTGCGCCTAAGATTTTCTATATTTAGTTACATTGCCTTTCAAATTAGCGTTTTGACTTTCGTCTCCTCTTGATTTGCAGCGGCAACTGAAAGATAGATGATACAATCTGGAGTTATGCCCAAACATCTTTGCCAATGTGTACCAAAATTACGAACAATTATCACCTTAGATGCCCTCATTGGAGTAATACTATTATCCGATTGCCTTTTTATTTTCTATGTATCTTATGTTTAATGTCTTACACCTAACAGTTATGTTTTAATTTATGCTTACAAGCCACTGGATTAAGGATGCTGTGGACCTAAAGCTACACTCTTTGATTCAGTGTTGCATGTGTGATCTGGTCTCTTTTTTTAACCTAATTTTTATTTATATTATTTATGTTTTTCTTACAATATTTTATATTATTTAGAAAAATGTATAAATATAATATATATCTAATATAAGTATGTATTTTCAGTCATATAATACGACAAATGGACCCGCGTAACACATAAATTTACAATTAATATATGTCCCCTAATTGATAGATCTACATTGCTCGTGTAGAAGGTGATGTAAGAAGTCTGGCACCACAGGTGTATCATGCAGTGCACCTAATATACCCAACAATAATAATAAGCTTCCAGACATTTATTTATTTTTAAGCAGTATTAGACACTATTAATAAAAATACAATATCTATTATAAAAATATAATAACTAGCTACTACTTTTTCTATTTTATTGAGATGAGATTACTAAGAGGAATAAACAAAACAATTTAAACAGCAAAACAATAAAAATTACAACGATTTCGCTTCTCTTCGCTTTATTTACTTGAGATTTTTATGTGAACATAATTATTTGATACTTATAGTATATATAATTATAATCACAATAAAAAATACAACGGTAATAATCACGATTCGAAAAACCGGACTGGATTGGCCGGTTCGACCAATCATGGTTCAAATAACGGGACTGGATTGGCCGGTTCAATCGAAAACCAGCAGGTACACTGGTCCGACTTAATGTGTTATTATCATGGTTCGAAAAAGGGGACTGGATCGGCCGGTTCGACCGGTAATCCACAGGTACAATTGTTCGGCTTGATGTATAAAATCTATGGGTCCCAAAACGTTTTGAACAACTGACACCGACATTAATTCGTACTATTTAAAATATAATAATTAAAGTCGATTTGATGTAAAGAGGGGTGATAAGATTGAAATGTGATGAATAGTTAAAATCATTTTACTTGATGTATATTGAATATAATTGACGCGACGTGTGAGGATAACTGATTGATGTTATCTAATTATAATGATAATAATGAGAGTTGAATTGAATTAAATTTGAGTATTTTGAATTTAAAAAAAAAAAAATTATTTGATAAAAATTGACTTGATAATTTATAACCAATCATGATCTAACAAACGCAACACTACAATAAAATATGATCCAAGTTCGTGTGGTGGTGGTTGAATTCAGCTCAACAATTTTATTTATACAAGGGTGCGATAAGTGACGGATCTAGAAATTTTGCTCAGGGAGCCTGATTTTAAATGTTAAATAATGTGTTTGTAGATTAAGTTGAAATATTCATTTTATACAAAAATGTATTTACTATAAATATAAATATAGATATGTGCACCATCATGTTTTTAAAAACTTAGAATCAATATTACCATCAAACTTCTTAAATAATAATAATAATAATAATAATAATAATAATAATAATAATAATAATAATAATAATAATGAGATTTCATGTATTTATAATTTAAGTTCAACATCTATAATTTATCGCAAAATAAGTTTTTTGGCAGAAAAATTGATTTAAATTGAACTTTTGCATCACATTGCATACCGTTTTTGTTGATGAAAGCTTATCAAATGAACATCTTATTTAAGAAAAAAAATAAAAAAATTAAAAATATGTGATTACACACAGAAAAAAAAGAGTAAAAAATCAACATTAAAATATGTAAAAATTTGATTAATAAATAATCGGTTTTATAAATCGCTAAATCAAGTTACATTTAAATGATCAAAATAGTAAATCATTATAAATATTTTGATAAGTTTATCTAGAAATTTAAAACATGAGGATTGTTGTTACATTTTTCAATAAATAAATAGTATCATTAATGTAAATAAAAATAGCATAAGAAATAAGTAATTATTAATATATTTGTAAATATATTTACATTTCTGTACATATTTTATAGTATTTTCCTTATAATATATTGCATATAATTTTTGCATTTCTTCGTATTTTATAATATTTCTATACATGCATTAAAAAGTTCGATATTTACTTAATATAGTAAAAAATCCAAAATTCATTTTACACTTACTAAATATAATAATTATGTGATAATAATTGGGCTCACTTCTTTATTGAGACGTTTTTTTTTTTAAATCGGAACACCATTTTTTTTTTTGGTACAAAGAATAGTTTCTTTTAATGAAAGTTGGACAAGTACGCACTAATATATACACTAATGACTAATCTCAAGCCATTTTTGTTTTACCATTTTTTAAGTTTTATTTGGTATATTTTCTTGTATATATATATATATATATATTGATTTTTTAAAAAAGTCAGGGGGCCCACGGGCCCCTGGACCCCATGTACATCTGTAGGTGTGATTGAATACGTTATTGGATATTTTGATTAACCATAATTAATATTGAAAAAATTGGTTGAATTAAGTTTGAGTAGGATTTTAGTTTGTAATAAAATAATATTTAGAAAAATATGATTAAAGTTGATTTGATGTGAGAGTAAGAGATAGGTGATCGGGAGTGATGGTTAGCAGTTTTTTCAATCTAAGATCCCAAAGATAGGTTATGTAAGTAATAATTGATTTTATAGCGATTTAACGATTTTATTTTTTGTAAGTAAAAGACTTAGGAAATTCTCAAAACTTTTGTAAGGTGAATGAGAAATTAATTATAAGTGTTATATGTTAGTTAATTGAGTTTAAATAACTCAAAGGTTGTAGTGTTCACAAACATTATGTTTCAACAATGTTTGGTCAATTTAAACGAGCCATATTATGATTATGTATGCTAGAATTGTATAAGGGCTCGTTGGGGACAAGTAGGAATAAACGGAACTCGATCCGAGTTCGTATGAGCTCGTACGAGCTCGTGGCGTACAAGTGCGCAATTGGATTAAAAAATCGAATGGTCGCGACCCTTGGTGACCATAAGGTGTCTTTCGACCACTAGATGCATCCGTTTTCGTTGGGGCACGTCCCAAAAGGTGTCTTTTGATACTTAAATCTCTTGAATGTGTTTCCCTACATCTATAAATACCCACAAATATGAAATCATTCAACACATCAAGTTTTGAAGATCTCTTTGCATCCTTTTAGAAAGTTTATAATCATCTTGTGTTCTTTTCTATCTTGAGAGTTTCAAAACATAAGTATTGTTCGTCGAAGGTTTGTGTATTTGAGTTACCGCTATACACAAATGTATCTTGGAGGCGTTAGCCGTGAACTGTGGGTAATATACGAGGCTATTTCGTCTTAAGGATAACTATCTTACGTGTCTCGACTTTATTCATTTTACCATTTTTCTTCTGATTTCTGAAGTCATTTTCTTGATATTCACATACCAAATATAAACTACAGGTTAATTATCAAATCGGGTTATGAAATATTTTTTTCTAAATTCGGGACCTAAATATTATCAAATTATCTATGAGTCTTAAAATTAACATCAACAACTTAACCCCATCAACATATGTTAATTTGAAGTTTTAAAATACTCAAATATGTTACAAAGTACAAAGGTAAAAAATAAAATAAAAAATAAAAATTGGCAATAGGACTTGAAAATGGCAGCCCATATAAAAAAAAAGTAAAAATAAAATAAAAGAAAAAAAAAGATAATTGAAAAAAAAACCCATCGGCCCCGTTTCTGCGTTGCATTTTTACAGTTATTATTATTATTATTATTATTATTATTATTATTATTTTCCTTTCAAATTAGCGGGGGTTGTTGCTCTTTTTTTTATTTTTTATTTTTTTTTTCTTTTAAATCTCAGTTTAGCGGTGTTACGAGTTTTGTTAATTTTAAGACTAATATTGATAGTTTTACAGTTTTAGGTCTCAAATTTGGAAAAAAAAAATCTTTTAAGTCTCGATTTGATAGTTAACCAATCTTTCAGGTCTTGTACGGAAAAAATTCATGATTAAAATTATGCGAATTGATAAATAATAAATTAAAATTAAATGTGATTTATATAGATAATTGTTTAATATTATTTAATTATATTTATAATATTGAAGATAGAGACGTCCAATTAAATTTAAGTAAAAAAAAATAAATAAATGATGAAAAGTAATTGATTTTGATTGAATTTTTAGGAAATGCTACAGTTCTATTACGGTACCATCTCATCGAGTGTTTCAACCGTTGAATCCATATGAAATTAAATAAGATAGATGATCGAACGATTAAAATATCTAACAAGATGATATCGCAACGGGACCATAGCATTTCCCTAAATTTTTATATCTAATCACACCCAAACCAAATTATTAAATGGAAGCTACCAATGAAATGTTCAAGTACACGTTAAGAGCATCTCCAATGCTCCACTTTCAACATTAATTTAATTTGAACACATGTCAAATGATGAATGGAATGTAAATCCATGTAATATGAATGTCAAAAGAGGAGACTTTAATTTAGGATGCATATCTCCAATGCATCTCTTTCAAAAGCTTAAAAAATGTATAGGTAGATTTTATTTTATTTAATAATAAATAAGCTAAAATATTAAAAACTAAATCCTAGCAAAATTGAAGTCTGATTGATTTCTCTGTGCAGTCTCTTCTTCCATCCAACACACATAAAATCCATAACCTCCAAGTTTCAATTCCTCACCACCCAATCTCACCGTCCCCTTGAAGTCTTATTCTTGCAAACTATAAAATTGATTTCATCCCAATCTGACATAAACCATGGCCTGCATAAACCATGGCCTGCAATCTTGGATAACAAACTCAGGGTAAATGCTAAAATAATAGGGTAAATTTTTCCATGGACAACAAATAATCTCTAATGCAACAAAAATTTAGACGGTGTATATTAATGATTTCAAACAAAAAAAAATGTGTCATACAACTTCTTGTAGCTGCTAGATTGTTTAGAAACTTGAATAAAAAAAATAATAATAATAAATAATTGATAAAAAGAAAGGTAATAAACAAAAGCCCTCATACCTGATTTTCCTTCTAGCCCTGATGAACAAATCTGCAAAAAAATACGATAGGGATTTCCAAGGACATGAATCTCTAAAAATTGCGCAATAGTTCCTCGCCAAAAGTTTTTCACAGCCGTAGGGAAGAAATCAATGCAAATAGGGTATATTTTTGATGAGTTGGCTTTCAAACAGGCTTTGGAAAACTAGAAAGTGGGCTTCACACTTTGGAAATTTAATTTGTCCATGTCACCATAAAAGAGTCCATAACATTATGGATTGGAGACTAGTTTTTATACCCACTTTAAAACTTGATGATGTGGCTAACATTTTATTAAGTCTACATTATGGATTGGAGATGCTCTAATAATGATCCGTGTAAAGGTGTCGTTCAATTAAGGCAACCAACCGCGTGCCAAACAAAAAAAAAAAAAAATGGTCCATCAATGGCTGCTTTTACATCGGTTTTGCCACCCCCACATTCAATTTTTTCCGCTCAACTTTATCCATATTTTAATTTTAATTTAATTAATTAGTAGTATTTGTTTATTACTACCTCCGGTTCATTATAAATGTCGTTTTGATTTTTGTGATTCATCCATTTTGTTATGTATCTAGACATATTACATTTTGTTATGTATCTAGACATTAATATGTCTAGATACATAACAAAATGGGTGAATCAAAAAAGTCAAAACGACATTTATAATGAATAGGAGGGAGTATTTATTTTCCACAGAATCACAGGTATCCCGTGGGCAGTTTTGTGTATAACTTGGCCACTACGTAACAGCTCACGAGCCCATTTTCGTCATTGTCGGCCATGGCCACCCACCTTCTCCTTTTTCTTATAAATCACGATCGATGAGCTTTCCAAATTCCACCTCTGTGACCTGCCATTTTTTTTCGTGTTTATCATTGACGTGAATCTGTTTGTATGTATATGTTTTCTGGTTTATGAATGTACCATGTTTCAATTGGGTCAATCGGCTGTTTGCTCTGCAAATTTGATCCTGTTTATTTGCTGATTTTTTTTTATTTTTTTTTATTTTTTTTTTTTTTTGTGTGTGAAGAACCAAATGGTTCAATCGGGTCATAGACTTTCAAAATTGGGGTACTTTGAATTCGATTGACGCTCTCTCGCGTTCCGATTAGGGTTTGATTGAATTCAATTTATTGTATTTTTTTTTTTAATTTTTATTTTAATTTATCATTGCGTGTATTTGCTGGAAGGGAAGTTATGGGGAACTTTCAATACAGGGTGTCAACTCCACCGGCCATTTGAGGCGTTCAATTTTGTCGTTTTTAACTCAAATTCATCTATTTATTCATTTTTTTTTTTTTTTAATTGAAAGGGTGTTTAATAATAATAATAAAGACGGGATTTTTTTGTGATTGGTGGTGGAATGAAGTGCAGCGCCTACAGGGCGTCGTCCAGTGAGTTGTGGGCGAGGCAGGGAAGCGGAGGAGGTGGGGTGAGCCTTGAGAGTGAGCATGATTTGGCCGTCATGGTTAACGATTTCTTGGAAAATAGCAGTAACAGTTGTGGGACTGACTCAAGATACAGCAGTGATAGTGATTCCAGCCTTGCTGATCTTCGTCTGCTCTCGCACAAAATCTCCGTTAGTCGCTGTCTCTGACTTCGATTCTTTTTTTCTTTTGTTATATGGTGAATCTTGCTTGTAGCTTAGACGGACTTATCTGGATTGGGATGAACACGAAGGGTATATTTAGAGGTTTACATTGCAAAGAAGATAGATGTTTGGTTCATAGTTGAATGGTTATACGAAAATGTTAGTGTGGAATTCAAAATTCTTGCTTTGGAATACTCCATGAAATGGTGGGAACAAACACTGTGGAAACATGCTTTGTGTTGACTGAATGAAGGGCGCTATATTTCATTTTTCTATATATATATATGGTGACTGTTGTATAGAGCATGAGTAACGTTTGTTGTCTGTTGCTACTTAAGGATTTGTGTATTGAGAACTATAGAGTATGGCATATCCCAGAAAACTCCATCACTGTTTGATAATGTAGAATAAACTTTATTGGTGTACTCTGGTTTCCAATACCTGTACCTGGGGTTTTTGTGCTGAAATGGACCGGTTTGTTCATGAGACTTCACGAACCATGTCCGTGTTTAATTAGTCCTAATGAACTATGAATGATTCTTTATAATACAATCTCTTCCAGAGTACTACGTTTTTCTTACCCATACTCTATTACATGTCCGCTTATTTTCCTCTAACACTTGTATCTCGTTTTCAGTACTTCAAGTTGGTGATGGATAAGTTCGAGAGTGATTTGATGTCAGTGGTCAATTCCCTTGCACTCTCAATAAATGAAGGAGACCTCACAGCAGCGGCTCCCGGCCCCTGCAATGCCAGCTGCATAAGGTTCTCCCTTGTGAACCTTCTTCGGCTGTCAGGATATGATGCTGGAGTGTGCACATCTCGTTGGCCCGGGACTGTCAAGGTTCCAGGAGGTAATAATTCCATTCACAATGAGATAAATCTAGTTATATTTCCACTATAACAAATACTCTCACCCTATTCCATGTTTCTGATCGTAAAATGCAATCCTGGGAGATTCCTGATGTTTATCGTTTTGCTAATTAGGGGTATATTCTTAGTTTCTTGTTTTTGGTGGTGACTGTAAATCAGGAACAAGAAAATTTTAGCTCGGTTTTTTACTGTAAAATTTTATGTATAGTTACGCCTCTATAACTTATCGTCTGCTCATGCGCAGGTGATCATGAATACATAGACGTGATTTACTACAACGATACTGGCACAAGCGAGCGTTTGATTGTCGATATCGACTTCAGAAGCCACTTTGAGATTGCAAGGGCTGTCGAGTCCTACGACAGGATATTGAATTCCCTCCCGGTTATTTACGTGGGTACTCTCGCAAAGCTCGAGCAGTATCTTCAGGTGATGGCCGAGGCCGCTCGGTCGTCTTTGAAGCAGAACTCGATGCCTCTTCCTCCGTGGAGGGCTTTTGCGTATCTTCAAGCCAAATGGTGGTCTCCACATCAGAGGAGGTTTGATTCTGACATACAAAATCTTGATGGCGTGATTTCTCACGAACACCATAAATGTGGTGGGCATCTCAAAAACTTGCAATCCTTACTTGTGTCCGATATTGATGGGGAACGAATGCATTGTGGTGGAAGAGCCGAAGGTGGTAGACGAGGAGTGAAAGGTTGGAGGGCGAAGCTGTCAAATCGCTCGTAGCTCTTGTTTACTGCAGGAAATATATATTCTTGTTTACTGCAGGAAATATATATTCTTTTGGGGAGTCGACTCTTGCGGTGAAGATGGGCAAAATTCATCGTTTTTTTCTCTTTTTCAGTGAACTGTTATCATTTTGGGGCAAAAATTCATCATTTTTTTTTTTCTCTTTTCAGTGAATTATTATATTTATGAGTGGGATCAAATGTCTCAATATGAGAGTTGTGAAAAATCATTTTTGTGCGGCATCAAAACTGTGTCAATATGAGAGTTGAGTGGTGCGGAGCGCCCCTGTAAGACTTGAATTTCTTGAGCCTACCTTTCTATATGTTCATCCTTTACAAATTTTTTGTGCATTTTTTTTTTTTT